TATCCCCGGTTCTTTCCCACTCGAGTGTAAAATGTTTTGCGGTCATTTTAATATAAAATAATTAATTTCTGCGTAAATATTTATAACAGCACAAATATGCCGCATAATTGATTCGCTTCGCCCCAAAGGCACATCGTGAAAAAAATATAAATAATAAATATTAAGAGTATAGGATAAATGTTATAAATTAAAAATATAGTTTTTACTGCATACAAACATAATAAATATTATGTTTTTATGCCATAATAATCTTCTTATAATTTATATAAATGGGTTATTTACCTTATATAGTTTAAATTAAACACATTTCGATAGGTTTATGTAAAGTAATATTATTATTATTAACAAAAAGCACAAAGAAAGTATTTAATATGATTAATAACTTAAGTAAACACTAAAATGAACAGTAACAATATTGAAATCTATATATTTTGAGGCAATCGAGTAATAAATTCTTCCATTCATTATTTATTACTCATTTCTAAACCGATTTTCATACATAATTTACCAATATTTATTTACTGAAAATCACAGAACTTAACTCAATAATTTTCCTTCTGTGTAAAACCGTCAATTCCATAACCAAAAAGCCCCACATATCTCTGTTTGATTTGTCCAATTGTCCATCGTTATTGGCAGTCATCATTCGAGCCGTTGCAATTCAATCATTACGAAATGAAATAAGCATAATGAAATGCAATATAAATGCATTAAATGCATCTGCTGTCCAGCCAAATCAATTTCATTGCCCGTCCATAGCTTCTCCAATATGAAATTATTGAAATTATTGATGCCCCGCCATGCATTTATTGAAGGGAAGAAGAATTGTTCGCATGAAGTATTTTTTTGGGGCGTCGATTCTGTTGGGGAATTGTGGTCATTTTTTGCAATTAAAAGCTTTACACATTTGGCAATCAATACATATATTTATATATATATATGAAATAATTAAATAAAATGTCGCTTAATTAAATTGGCACGACCTTTTCGCGTTAAACCAACAGAGAAATATCCAATGTTGCTTCTGGCAAGGAATGATGTTGATGATGCAAGTGATAAGCAAAAACCAGAAGCCAGAGCAGCTGAAAACAAGAGGAATGCGTTTAATTTGTACGATGAGTTAAGCTAAGAGATACTCTATATTAATGGGTATAGAGGGTACTTGGAGAAATGTGTTTTTGAACTTTGAGAGAAATATTATAAAATAAGCTTAGATAGAGATTATTTGACTTCTATTAATTATTGATTTCTATTTTCTTCTTTCCAGGACATTTTAATCATATATAAAGCCTATCTTTTGGTGAGTTTGAATATTTTTCATATTTTTAAAGCCTTTTTATATATACGTCTTATTGTAAAATACTTCTTTAAGAGCATTTCTTGTTCTGTTTATCCTCAAATGAATTTCTTTGCCGCTCATTTACGCATCTGAGTTCCAATTCACGCGCATCACAGAAATGTGACAGCTAGTTAGTGTCCAAAAGAGCGCCGTCTGTGCCCCTTTTCTCAGTTGGCCAATTAAATTCAATTGAATTCTTCTTTCTTTTTTTTATTTTATTTGCTTTTGTTTTTTTTTATTTTTCTTATTTGTGTGGCTTCTGTGTTTATTTGTTTACTGTTTAAAGCCTGCGCGCGTGCCTCAATTTAGTGGCAGTGAAGTCGGTGCTTTTTCAATGCACTTTGCCAGGCGATAGGCAAATGAGTCTGCGCATTAGAAGGTGGCCAAAGGGGACGGTGAGGTGTGGTGGGGCTTTTCTCACTGTGTACCCGCTGTGCGCCGGCTGTCAGCATATCAACGCAATTTGTGCACTCGCCAATAGACGAGCGTGGAGGAACTGCGTCCAAGTCGCAGCCGGCAAATTATGGCCAACGATGCTCGGCGACTGCGCAAAGTGCCTCATAAATTCACGTCGCTGATGAAGTGATAGTGCCAAGGAGTACGACGAATAGCAGGCCAAGGAGTTGAGGTAGCCTCCTAGCCTCCGATTTAGATGCAGGCATAGCTATAGATGCATAGGGAAAGAAAAAATAAGGTTTATTTTAACAAATAAATAGATATACATTCAACAAATACTAAAATAATAAATATATGGTCATTCTAAAATAGGGTCTCACTTAAAACTTGTCTCAATTTGATCTGGGCACACTAAATTATACCTTTTCAACATTAAAATAAAATTCTTTAGCCACAAAGTCCTTATAAGATAGATGGCAAATTGTATATAAAAAATTTATAATTTTGAAAATTTTGGGAATTTTTTTTATTTAAATAAAAAAAGTATATATTAGGAAGTGCACAATTATTTCTCTGCCTGTCTGCCGTAGATTGTATATGGCAGCCATGGCCTGACCGGCAAAAAAAAGATCCAGCAAAAAACATTGTTGCTCAATGGCTCAACTAATGTGCCGCAGATAGGAAATAAAAAGGAAGCCATTAGAAAGTGCAAAAACAAATTGGCTAGATCGGTGAATTACATAACCTGTCTTTCACCACGCAAGACATCTTTCTAATGCCATGATTTAATAATAAAATAAAGCCTGAAAAGAGTAGATAGAAATAGTAATTGGATTATAAAAAAGTTGTTTAAGGCATACATACATAGGGAGAATATAAATAAATAAAAATATTTAAATATTTCAAAAGAGATTTATAAATCAAATTATATATCAAATGAATTATAAAATTCTCTACGCCAATATTCAAATGGAAATCGCTTTCCCAAAGACAAATAGAGCTTTCCATTGATTAACTTTCTCGTCCAGTTGATTGATTTATCCCTGCCATTGACACAGTTTCCGCTAATCTCGCTTGGCCTCATCCAGGGCTTACAACACTTTCTGGCCATTGTCTCGGCCAAGCCACTGTCTATTAACCGACCTTCGACGGAGGCCAAGGACAATAACAGGACGAGGGCGCGTAATTGAAAGTACGCGAGCAAGTTGTAAAGCAGATGTAAGGACATCAAGTGCCTGCCGAAGCCGAAGTGAAGAAAAAATAAAAATTGAACGGGAAAGAAAAAATTGTGAAGAGGAATTTACCATAATAAAAATAGCTAACGCCACGGCCCGAGATTCAAGATTCAGCAGTGAGATGCCATAAGCACAAAGGCAAACTGTAGATAAAAATTCAATAAGCCACGGAGCAGGACACGAACGGAGACCGAAGGAGGATGCGGGTCTGCGGTTGGGATTTTGTGGCCAATAAATAAAATTAATACGAACGCACTTGAGCGCAACTTGACCAAGGAGCAGGTCTCCAGCGAAAGGACCGAAGGCGGAAGGTCCTTCCCGTTCGGCCGGGAGTCATCATGATTTTTTTTTTGCTCTTCTCCATTTTCTCCTGCTGCTCTGTGTGTTTTGTTTGTTGACTTGTTGAATGAGCCGAGCCGAGTCCCCCCAAGTCCAAGGGCCAACTGTTGACTGGCACTTGGCTGGCCTTATGGCCAAGCCGATATTGTAGGTAAACAGAGATTTTACAGGGAACAGCTTAAAGTTGGCCAGAAGGAAGATGTTCAGATAAATTTAAGGATATTAATAGAGACGGTTTTAAATTGATTTTTAAAGGTAAAGTAATATTTCTTTAAAGCTCAGAAATTTCGAGAGCATTAAACAAATTCAAGAAAAATCAATTATTTTAACTCAGCAAAAACTTTCACTTCAGTCGCAGGAATATTGACTGCCAATTGCTTACCATAAAATTTCCCAGATTTTCTTTTTTCTCTATAAAATGCCGAATTCTTAAGGCGTTCCCACAATGCCTTCATAAATTAGTCAACTCCGGGTTGCGATGCCAAGGCATCTGCCAATGGTGCAATTCGAATACTGACACGTTGATGACCCCGCAATTGAACTGCCATAAGAAATCACTCTGCGAGGGAGACGATTATTCGTTTTGGTTAAATTTAAGGGGGGAGTAAGGGGGCTTTGGAGGTTTGAAAAGACTCTGCACCGCCCACTTTCAACACTTGCCACAACAATGGTGTGCGCAAATATTTGCCAGTCCAGTCCAGGCCCAACCAACCAGCCGGCGGAAAAAGGCATCTCGGATCAGGCAAGTCGCGCAAGTCTTGAGCCTCAGCCTCAATTTGAAATCCAATAAAATTTAATTGGAAACTTCATCACGGGTGCGAAAATTCACACTCTAAGCCAAGGCGGCAGGCACGACTCGGCTGCCGTTTGTCGTAAATCTATTGGCCAAGGCTTTTCCAGTTTTTTCCTAAATACACACAAAGAAATTATATATATATATTTTTCAGTAATGATTTATTTTTATTAATATTTTTCTAACAATTAACCAGGATTTTATTTCAATATAGTATGATACGATTTTTTTTAACAACTTTCGTAGGTAATATCATATCGTAGTGTCATAATTGCAGCAAAGTGTGACCATATTCTATCGTAGTGTCATAACTGCAACATTGTGTGACCATTTACTATTTTAAAATAAAGTTTTAGTCAAAGCATGACAAAATATGATAATATATTTTAATACGTACACCTCTTTAAAGTCAAATGCAATTTAAAAATATTTTTATGAACTATTTGGAAATATATATATATATGTTTTACAATATGTGCACTTAATTAACATCCCATCATTTACCTATTTAAGACAATTTTTCTTGGTGTAAACCCAACTGTATGCTCTATCCACAATCCATGCGTTTCGTTTTGCACCTGGCGGCGTTTCTCTTGGGGAAGCATCGCGATAAGGAAATATATATATTTTTTCGTATACAGTCCAGAGTGTGGTGGGGTCGGGTGTTCATTCCGTTCCATTCCGTTATTGGCCATGGCAATATATGGCTTATTTATGATTTTCCTTTTGCCATGCCATATCTCTGGTCCATTGTCGACATTAATCGCTTCGCTGCGCTGAAAAGTATAACAAGAAATTTGGATTGATTTATGTTATAATTATAAAAAAGCTAGGCGCATATTAGGGGAGCGGAGAATCTGTACACTACAAGTTACAAGCTAATTCTAAATAAGTTAAATTATAAATGTGGATTATTGTTTATTTTTATTGTTGTGTTTAACTGTGTAATTTGGGGATCCGAAAGAAAGTTGCAAGTCTTCAGTGAAATGTTCTGGTGTGGGTTGTGTGTACTGCAGTGTATGTATTTGATGGAATCAATGGGACTGCATGGCTGCCTCCTCGATGTACTCCCACCAGTCCTTCTCGTTGCCCTCGCGCACATGGCTGAGCAGGACATCGCGACGCTTCTGGCAGTAATGCGAGAGATCTAAAACCTTCTGCTTAATGTCATACAGATTCTTCGCCGTGATCTCCCGCTCCAAGCACTCCGATATCTTCTCTGTGGCCATCTCCAAGTCCCTTTGGTTGTATTCGAAAATCACCTTCTGATTGTTGTTCTTCAGATAGAAGGCAAAGACGTAGCTGTACATCAAGGTGGAGCGACACTCGCACAGGGCATCGACGGCATCACGCAGGAACTGGACCTCGATCCAGCTAATCTCCGCCTGCATGTCATCCATTTTGGCCTGAACATTGGCGTACAGCTTGTGCTCCATACGCATGCTCTGCATGTGGTTCATGTAACGATTGTAATAGTGCAGGTAGCGGGCCATCGAGGAGCGGAATCTCTGCTGGGCCAGGCGCGCCTGCTTGGACTCCTCCTCGTCGTAGCGGTTGCAGCTGTACCAGGACGAACCGTGCGGCTCCCAGGAGCCCAGGCAGACCCAGCAGAAGTCGTAGCGGCAGGAGGGATTCTTGCAAACCATGTGATTGCAGCCACCGTCCTTCTCAATGGTCACCTGGCACTTGGGGCACTCCTTCGTATTCTGGGCAATCCAATTGGAGGTCTCCGAGTCCTCGAGGCACTTCTTCAGCCACTCCTTGAGGTAACCACAGCTGGCGGGCTCGTGCCAGTTTTCACCACAGCCAAAGCAAAACTGATGGCCACACTTGCACTCCACGGCCTTGGGCTCCATGTAATTGGCCTCGATGGCATGGGTGCAATTGGGAGCTGGACACCAGCGCATTAGCGTGTTGCACTCCACGAAGGTGTTGGTAATCAGCTGTTTGTAACGCTCCACAACCTCTGGGTCATCGGCGAGCATCAGGAAGGAAGCATAGTCGACAAGGATGTCACAGTTGGCGGCCGGACATGTGATTGTGTGAGTCAGACCCTCGCTACAGGTCTTGTTGGCCAAGTACAGCTTCCAGCAGGCGGCGCAGTAGTTATGGCCACATCCCAAACCCTTGAGCTCATCGCAGGCACAGAAGCATATGCCGCATTGCTTCCTAATGGGCGGAGAGGGTGAACTGACGGCTTCCGGAGGAATAGCATTCACCTGCTCGAAGGGATTCAGGACATGGGCACGCTGGAAGAACTCCTGCGGACTGCTCTCGAAGTAGTTCTCGAAGAGACGCTCCTTGTCCCACTTGAAGTGATTCAATATCGTCCGGGTGACCTGCGGCGACAGGTTTAGAACATTGTTCACCTCATCAATGATGTTCCGCTGATGTTGAACTATCTCATCCACGGAGAGGACCTTGTAGACGAAGTCATCTGGGGCTACATTGTGGTTCGGTCCCTCCGGCAATGCGATTTCCGTGCACGTGTCCTCGTCACTGTCCCAGTTGCTGCAACTGAGACAGGAAGGACTGTGGCTGGTAAAGGAGCGATGCGAGTCCCCATGATCCTCATCGGAGAATCCGTCTTCGGAATTCATTCTACAGGATGGAGATTGATATTTGTTATTTTTTGAATTTATATCGGGACGAAGCCCCGTGTCTGGCAATAATCACTGAGCTTTCTGCGACTTCCACATTTGCTGGAGACTGCCAAATTAGTTCGTTCGATTTGAGGTTATTCTGGAAAGGAATGGCAACAAAACGATGGCAGCAACAAGGAAATTGAAATATTAAACACGTTCGATGTGATGATGATGCTGTGTGTTCTTCGTATTTCTACTGAAGACTGACACTGGACGATTGAAGATAATTACCAATTGCTCTGACAGTGTTTGCCCGACTCACTGAAACTAAAAAATAGACACATTTTAAAGACATTGTATGCAAGGCCTGCTTCGTTTACACTTTTCACAAGAATTGACAGTTTTATTTTGTTTTTTTTTTTTTTTATCGATAATCCAGTTTTCAGTAATGAATGGAAATAGTTCTTATCAATATTCAATATTATAATCTCTTCGGAAGACTTAACTAATATTTTTACTGGTACAACATAATTGAAATCTTAATTATTACTGAAAAATGTTTTGGATTTCCTTTCTGTAATTTGCTTTGTATGGAGAGAAAAATTCAAAGTTTTTAAACAGTTGAACAATCGAAATTTTCAAAAGAGAGAAGCAGTAACTATTTTATATTTAGATTCTCATACAAATTTATGTCTGGAACAAGAGCAAAGGATTATGAGCAAAGGATTACAGGGGTGTCTCTTTTATGTAATCCCACCACTCCTCCTCGGTGCCCTCACGCACGTGACTGAGAAGGACATTTCGACGCTGCTGGCAATATTGGGATAGTTCGATGATTCTTTTCTTGATATCGTACAGATTGTTACCTCTGATCGTCTTTCCCAAGAAATCGGATATTTTCTCTGTGGCAATCTCCAAGTCCTTCAGATTGTCTTCGAAAATTATCTTCTGGTTGTTTTTCTTTAGGTAGAAGGCAAAAACGTAGCTGTACATCAGGGTGGAGCGACACTGGCTGAGGACATCGATGCCGTTGCGCAGAAACTTTAGCTCAATCGAGCTAATCTCCATCTGGATGCTATCCACTTTGGCCTGAACATTGGGGTACAACATCTGATCCATTTCCATGCTCTTCATTTGGTTCATGTAGCGAACTTTATAGTGGGAGTATCGATCACGCAAGTCCCTAGATACCTGCAGGGCCACATGCGCCCGATTGTCCTCCTTCTCCTCGAATAGTTTGCAATTCGAATAATGGGCCTTCCAAGATTGCAAGCACATCCAACAGAATTCGTAGTAGCAGGAAAAATTCTGGCAGATCATGTGATCGCAACCACCGTCCTTCTGAATAGCCACCTGGCAGTTGGGGCACGCCTTCGTGTTCTGATTGATCCATGTGGAGGTTTCCAAATCCTCGACCCTAATATGTAGCCACTTCTTCAGGTAACCACAGCTGGCGGGCTCGTGCCAGTTTTCACCACAGCCAAAGCAAAACTGATGGCCACACTTGCACTCCACGGCCTTGGGCTCCATGTAATTGGCCTCGATGGCATGGGTGCAATTGGGAGCGGGACACCAGCGCATCAGTGGGTTGCACTCCACGAAGAAGTTGGTAATCATCTGTTTGTAACGCTGTACGACCTTCGGGTCATCGGCGAGCATCAGGAAGGAAGCATAGTCGACAAGGATGCCACAGTCGACGCCAGGACATCTGATCGTTTGGGCCTGTCCCTCGCTGTAAGTCTTATTGGCCAAGTACTGTTTCCAACAGGCGGCGCAGGAGTTGTGACCACAACCCAAACCCATAAGTTTTTTTCCGGAACCGTAGCATATTATGCAAGATGTATTATCCAAGGATGGATTAGATGGTTCCGTACGATTTGGTCTCTCCTGTTCGAAGGGATTCAGGACATGGGTAAGCCGGAAGAACTCCTGCGGACTGCTCTCAAAGTAATTCTCTAAGAGACGCTCCTTGTCCCACTTGAAGTGATTCAATATGGTCCGGGTGATCTGCTGCGATAGATCCAGGACATTTTTCACATTATCAATAATATCCCTCTGAAGCACCTCAAGCTGACCCACGGAGAGGACCTTGTAGACAAAGCCTTCCGGCTCTACAAGATGGGAAGGTTTCTCTGGCGAAACAAAGTTGGTGTACTCATCGTCGTCCCAATTTTCCATTTGACTGTTAATGGAGATTTGCGAGGCTTTGGTTTTCTCGGAACTCATACTGCAAACATATTTTCTTTAGAAATTAACTCTAAATATATGCATATGATTAAAAAGCTTACATTCGTAGTGACAACTCCTTAACACAAAGCGTTTCTTGTAATTAACTTTATTTGGACACTTTGCAAAAGTCTCTGGTAATATTTTTAACCAAATTTATTGAGAACTTTGCAATTCTAAGTATTTGAGAATAGGAATGGGAGTATCGTAGATGTATCGATATATCGATTTTTCTGTTTACTAAATGTTTAGGCATTTTACAACACTGTATAAGAATAGAAATGTGATTTGGGATCAAAGAGATGGTAAAAGTTTATGTTCGACAAAATAAGTGTATTTACATAATTATGAAAGTCAATATTGTCCCAATCTAGTTGAAAAGACTTGAATTGGTGGATTGTTTTTAAGATTATGATGATGATTCTTATAGACAAATTGAAAGATAAGATGAATTTATTTTTTAAATACCCCTTTGTATGTCTGTCCAATCGAATATATCGAATAAAACAAACTATTTGCTTTTGAGAAATATGCGAAATGCTTATTTTGCCTAGTGGAAACACCTCCTATGAGTATTTGAACGTTTTAAAATATGTGTTAACGATCTCAACTGCTTTCACTAGGCACAACATAACTCTTCTTAAAATAAGAAAGAAACCCACTTAAAAGAATAGTATTTTAAAATATTTGACTAAGCTTTGAGTATATTTGTTGCTATGTGGGATGCTGCTTCGTGCATTTTTTAGTGGAAAAACCATCGAAATGCATTTGTACACGCTCTCACATGCCCACTAAAAGCTTTTTGGGGTATCCTGCATTCATACATATGAACATATGTATATGTACATATGTATTCCATAACCCTTTCGTGGAATAAAACAGAACAAAGCAATGTCTCAAGTGGCAAGGGTAAGGCACGTTATTTAAAAAAAATACAAAAATAAAAAAGAAATAAAAATCCAGAAATAAAACGTACGTACAACACAGGCGATATGCGAAATGAAAGTGAACGAGCGCACAAGGATAATGGCGATGGAAATGGAGTAAGGGTAATGAGTGTGCATAATGCAGAGATGCAGATGCAGGATCCTGGTCCAGGAACTGAGAAGCAGCCCAATCCAAGCCCATCTCGGCGGCGCACTCATTGAACAAACGGACTCAATCTGCCATGGATGCACTTGGGCATGTGTGTTACACTCGAAATAAATGCATTTTATTTTAAATTTCTTTTAGATATTATATAAAATATAATTTGAACAAAATAAATAATATATAACATTTTCTTATAATATTATTCAATATATAAAATGCATTTATTCATAGATGATGTTCTTTTTGCCATAATCTTCTTGATTTTATATTTATACAACATTTGATTAATCATAGAAAATATTTATTCTCACAACAAAAATTGAATTAAAACTATTTTCTGACTGCTCTTGTGTTTATATATGTGTAAATTTAGAGAAGTAACTCACATCATGGCCCTGAAGCTGCCTCTGGATTGCTTTCATTTTTGTTCCTTCTCCCCGATTTTTTTTTCCGTTTTTGTTGTTTTCTTTTTTTTTTTTTTTGTATATTTAAAACAAAAGCCACACAAGAACCCGCCAAAAGCCGAAGCGAAAAATCATTACAAATAAAAATGCAAAGTCGCCAAAACATCACCAGCCACAAAATCCCTTTCATCCACTTGCCCAGGGTGGGAGAATGGAGCATTTTCTGGTGAAATTTTCCCACTTCTCTTCAGCCAGCCTCCTTTCAAGTCAGCCAAATTACAAGAAATCCTTTCGTGCGCGTGAATGCTTTGGTGGAAAATGCGGAAAAGGAAATAATTTGACCAGCCGCAAATGGAAGAAAGCTGCAAAAGGGGGCGGGCGGCGACTTTACGGGCGTTGCCTGTGTGTCATATGTGGAAAATTGCAAGAATTTCTCCTGGCCATGCAAATTGGGCACAGCCAAAGCGAAATGCCAAATGCATTTGGCCCAAAGATGCGCCACTTGTTGGCCACGACGACTGCGAGTCTTTATCATTGCCAATCGCACAGACCCGTGGCCGAGGCCGAGGCCGAGGACGAGGCTAAGAGAGGATAGAGAGAAATGGCCAGCTCGCCCCGTTTGATGGTCAGCAGCGATGGCCCTGTGACGTGACCACGATGACGATTACGATGACGATGATGATGATGATGATGCCAAATGGCTGATAGGCCAAGCCAAAGTCCCGGCCAGGCTAAATTCGCATTTTTTTTTGCAGCGCCTACTTTAAGCGATTGCACTGGGAAAAAATCGGTGTTTATAAAACTTTTATTACTATATTTGTGTAAAATGATAAGTAACATCACAAATTGTTTCAATTAATTTTATTATTTAATTTACAACGACTTATGGTACTTGAATTGAATTGATTTTCGTAAGACTTGTATTTTCTTTAAAGTTATATATTTATTTAGTAATTTAATTATTATACCCTCGCTAGGCATTATAATTTTAGTCCGAAGCTTAAAACGCTGCGAAGGAGTCATTTCCGACTTTATAAATCATATATATTCTTGATCAGTATCGACAGGCGAATCAATCTAGCCATGTCAGGAAGATACAAAAAATTAAAAAAATTTTCAATATTTTTAAGAAGCTAAAATTGTCCAAAATTTTAAGAAAAAAATTAATTTTTTTACATTTTTAATAGAGTATGCAGATTTGTTACTGTTTTAAAAACTAACATAGGGTAGCCTTCCGAATGAAAATTAAACCATTTTAGACTTAGTTATGAACTTTTTAATTGTTGATTTCCCAAAAAAATGCCATATAAAAATATTAATTAATATCGATTCAAGGTAACCCATGTTTTAAGCTTTGTTATGTTCGATTTCCGATTCGATCCTTAAATTCGATTGCAAACTGAAATGGTATGCAAGCTACTTTGAATAGTTTTAAATTTTATTCCTTTGGGGCTTTTGATGTGGAAAAAGATCTTAGCATTTGATTAATATTCTTAGTTGATTTTATATTTAAAAAAAATATGCCAATAATACCTAATATATGGGATTTGATTTTATTACGTTTTTAAATAACATCAAATTCTTTCGGAATTTATTGATGCTTTATAAATTTTAAAGTTCACTTACCATTTCTTTTTCAACTACTTAAAATAATTTAAAATTATTTTCTTCCTGTGCCTTTGATATTCCTGCAACTATTTGCGTAGAAAAATTTTCTTGGGAAAAAAATTCGCACATCTTGGGCAAGGGGAGAGGGGGATCGTGCCGCACTTTCCCCGTGGCATTGGCCAAAAAGGATGTTCGGTTGGAAATTCATGTAAATTAGCTAGGTAATTACAAGCTTTATATCAGCGGCAAACGGATGTATGCTGATCGCGGCGATAAATGCGTTTGCCCGCTTCTCGCATTATAATTACGCTCTTGTGTTTTCATTGTGTTTTGTTTTTATTTTGTATTGTGTGTAGAGTCGATTTGAAAAGCAAAAATTAGCTGGAAACCAACGAGCATGAAGTTAGCAGCTCTGTGTGTGTGTTTGGAAGAAAATCAACGCTCGGAACTAATTTGATTTTGATGCGACCGGGCTTGGAGGAGAAATGATATAGAAGAATGCGCGTATATATTGTATATTTTATTTTGTTCCGAATAAAGCTGGGCTTCTTCCTCGCCTCATAATCAAGTCGGCGGCCAGGCATGAGTTATTACATTAACGGTCGGCATGGACAGCTGGATTTATGTTTATTTTCTCTGCGCCATTGATCGACCTTGACTAGCAGTCAGCCACCTAACAGTAGCTCTCTTCGTATATAATTAAAACGAAAATTAATTTCAAGTTTTGAGTATGTCAGAGATTTATGTGGACTTCGTTTTGAGTCTACACAGTCTAGACACTAGACTTTAGATTCTTTTTTTTTTTTAATGCGACCTCCGGTGATCATTCATCAAGTGGTTTGGGCGATAAATGGGTTAGGGGAACGATCATTCGTCATAGTATCATGGCGTAGATTGGGATTGGGGAAGTTAACGCAGTCGAATAACATATTTCAATAGAAAATACTTTACATAGTATATTTATTTATAATTTATAAGAGCAGGATGTATTTAGAATTTATAATATTATTTTTGCGATTATTTTAATTTGATAAATCAAAATATGTTGCCAAATATTTGTGTTTATAGCAACCTTCTTGTCCAAAATCATTAAATAACCTATATATATTTATCCTAAGACATCCTTAGAGCTATCTTGTTATACAGAGTGCTGCTAAAATTCCCAAGTACGAATTCAGTTACACTCCGATATTGTAAAAAACTTATGTAGATCTTTAGTTTCGAATAAAGAGTTCAATCCTTAATATTTCGCTATGTAATTTTTCAAATAATATTTCCCTGTGCACCTTTTAATTTTTAATATTTTTTTTTTTTAGAATCTCGAACCCTTTTTTCTTGCAATTCGCCTTTAGGATCTGTCATTGCACTTCTCTTTCATCTCGTCGTCAAAGAAAATCATTGCCAAAAAATTCGCTTTGAAACGATTGTATTCTGTTGCAACCCCAGGGCACATATCCTTATCATCCCGCAATTGTCCTTTTCTTTTTTCTTTTTCTGGCAAATACTTCCAATCAAAACGGTTCTGTGAGGGTTAGGGGAGATTGCAAAAAAAAAAAAAAATGGGCGAAAAGGAAAAATAACCATGTGACAGGCGAACAAAAACTTGAGTGTGAAGAAAAGTGAAAGTGCTTCCCCCTTTCAGAGACACATTCAACCCCCGAAAAAAAAGAAGAAAGACAGAACTGGGTAAAGGAAAAACTTTTCCACCACATGTGTGAAGCTATCTCTTTCCATCGTTTGGCGGCTTTTCGCCTTTGAAATTGAAGCATTTCCGCCATTTTTCCATAGGTGGAATGGTCGCCTTTTGGTAAAAGGCTAAGAAAGTGCGTTAAGAGGAGGAAAACTGTGAAAACTACTCCACTTCAAAGTGGCAGTTAAGTAACTCGCAAGAAGGCAAATCACTGAAGGCTCAGACTTCAAAGCGGGTTTTGCATTTCGTTCGCCAATATTCTCGCGCTTTTGCGGCTTCTTTCGGTTTTTATTTTATTTTATTATATTTTTTTTTTAACCCTCAAACCCACCTCGATATTGTGTAGTCGAGAGCATTGACTTTGTGCTGTAAAAGGGACTT